TTTATATCGTGTCCCCCACATTGTCTGTCAGGATGTACTCTCTCCTTTGAGAAACATTTTCTCAAATTACTGTATGTTTTTAGGTCAACAGGCCCATATGCATGCACACAGGATTTGTATACAAAATGTTATTTTTTGAGGGTTTGTATACAAAATGCTGCCTACCTGAAACACTCTTAGGTTTACTTAAGCCATTTATTAAGAATCAGTTAGTTGGAGGAGTATTCTGTCAGAACAGAGTTCTTACAATTTGCATCTGTAAGGTTATATCAAGGACTGATGCTTTTTTTGGCGATAGTGGGGTTCTGTAAACTAGACTGTAAAAGACAAAACTCAGAACTGATCACAGAGTATTTGGGCTTCTATGCCACCATATGAAGAATGAAAAAGCTATAACTGCAAAAGTGAGATCATATTAACCCCATTTCATTTTTCTTTAGCCTGGAGGCACATTTTCTTCTTTGCTGTTGATTACACAGTGCTGTTAGTCTAAAATGTAGCATTTGCACTTCTCTGTAGTGATCAGGTATCTTGCAAAATAGGTTTATTACAGGGTTTATTACAGAGAAGGTAAAAGAAGGAAAAATCCAAAGCACGTAAATGGGATTCTCCTGTCTTCTACACCTAGCTTCACAATATAGTCCTCCCTTTTCAAGACAGTGAAAATGTTTAAGGAGACAAAATTCTCAAGATCTCTTTAACCCTTAAAGGTCTTGAAAGTTTGGACAATAGAAAAGGTCTATGAACTAAGAATCAGGCCTTCTGGCCTGGTGAGGTGCAAAGTCATGTCAAGATACATTAGACTGTAGAATGTAGGCACACACTGGTAAAATGCTAGTCTTCCAGAGAGCCAGATGTGTGCCACTAAAAAAAATTGAATCTCAGTCACATTCAATGTACACACTCTGCAGTTTCTCTTTGCCTGAATGAAAAAAAGACCTGCTTATTTCAGTTTCACCTCACATAAATATTTTTTTTTACTTGACTCATGCAGATGACTCATTATGCTATGAATCTCACTCATAATCCCTGAAAAAAATATCAAACTGATTGTTTTATACAGTGTATCTTATAAATAAAAGTATGAACTTTGTATTAAACAATCATCTGACAAACTAATGATACAGTATCTGCATATGTAACACAGGTCATTCAACACAGGGGAAGAGAAACTTCGGCAGGGTTTCAAAATCCTGCTGCCTGTAAATATTGTTGTCTAACGAAAACTTTTTCAAGCTTTTTTCTGATATAAAATAATTGTATATTTATGGATACATTGCTGTGCAAAAAAACATTTTAGACAAAATCAACAGTTACAAGGTATTTGGGTTATGAGCAGCATATCAAAACTTTACTTTAAAAAAAGCCACCAAAAGTGTTTTTTGCTATATTGTTTTTGCTATTTTGCTATAAAACAGTTCGAAATGACTGAAAAGAAACCAGGCTTTTCTTTTGACAATCCTTCATTCACTTCAGAAAAAAAACCTCAAAGTGAACTATACATAAGCAGCCAATAAGAAGTGTCTTAGTAAATTCACACTAGTGAATGTAATTTAACATTATTTGTTCCACTTTAGACGTTCACAAAGCTAATTAATTATTTTTGTAATACAAAATAAATACAGATCTCTTATAAATATCCTTCTGCACATTTTGTTCAGACTTCACAAGCTCCCTTGTTTCTCCTGATTGACAGCCACACCAGTCAACTGCTGACACTCCAGTTGAGCCAGACTGAGTAAGACCCACTCTTGTCATAGCTGTGAAGGAGAACCTTATTTTGATGGTTAATATTCCTTCCAAAGGAAAAAAACGATGCCAGCAAGAACGGGCACCCAAGGGCTACCTGACAAAGCGATTCTGACCTTCCCTCACATTGTTTTATGTGAAAAGTGTTTGGAGGGTTAGGTCAGGTGGGAATGCATGGTCAGTCCCATTGTTAGAGCAGCTCAGTCAGTCTGTCCAGTTCACCAGGTGTCCAACAGCAGGCCTGGTACATGTCACCTCGCTGCAGCTGTTGCTTGTCCATTAACCTCAGTGTGTTGACCTCTTTGGCAATTAAAAAAGGCACTTAGCCTGAAGCTTGTACTTCAAAAGATATGTAATGGCCCTATTAGTGTAGTTCTGTCAACAGCTTAGATATAAAAAGGAAGAAGATTTTGTGACTCAAAAGGTAAAACTCTAATGCATTTAAAAACAATCATCAAGACTGTGCATTACTGAAATGGTGCTGTAATCTTCTCAAGACGTAGGACCCTGTTTGGTTGACATGGAGACACCTTTCTTTGCTGCAAGCAGTAAATGCACCTCCATCGAAATCGAAATTCAGTTCTCTCCAGGAAAACTGAGTTTTCATACCATAGACAAAGACAGTGACGCAAGAGACGAGACAGAATTAGATTTTGAATACCAAGCGGACAATAATTGCAAGGTTAGTGCCTCACTTGTGTATTTGCACATGAGGAATAATCTCTCGATAAAATCAAGGCAGAAACAATAGGTAGTGGAGAGGCATTTTTAAGTAACAAAAAGGCTTAAGTGTTCCAATCTCAAATGTAAAAGAAGTAATTTAATAAACGGACACACAAAAGAAGCCATACAAAGATAAGGGAAAACAAAAGATCATATTAATTCATATTTACTCTCTACTCATCAATAGCTGGTGAGAAACATGCCGTTTCTGGCTGGAATCATGGTACTTTAGCATGAAAACGTTGTCACACTATGTTTACAAACATCTAACAATATTAAGGTAAAATGTAATGGATGTTCAAATTTAAAGTGACAAAGGCTAATAGCACTTAAAGCTGTAGAGGACTACATATCTTCCTGTTATGTCACTTCTTTGTTAAGCATGCCCAACATGATGTGTTATTGCTTTTCCTTAGATTGTGACTTACTAAATAATTACCCTAAGAACCAATTCTAAAGGTGGACCCAGAGGAAGTGTGCTTGAAAATAGATTAGTCTTTGACGTGCATTAAAGCACTACTTGCTCTCTGCTGTCAGGACAATATGGAGAGGCACCTGTGTGACACAGCTGCATGAAACATCTATATGAATGTGGGTCCTATTAATGCTATGTTTTGCAGCAATAAAGTGATTGACACCTGTACCTCTTTCATGGGTCTGCTGCTTCAACTGAGATCCCCAAAGATCAGTTCACTGTACTTCTCCTGTGTGTAACCATTCAATAGTGTCACATGCAAACAACAGCAGCTCAGAGCCATCCTCCAAGCTTCAGCAGTTCTGACAACTAAGTTTAATGGACTGAAGCCAGCATCCGGTATGATGATTGAGATAAGGGACTGCTCCCTTAGTACTGCAGACCGAAACATGTGCTGGAGCAGAGAAGTAATACTAAAAACTGCCATTTTAAAGACGGGGACAAATTCTGAGGGATCACAATTTATTACCTTTGTGAAGATATAAGCTATCAGCTTGTAAAAAAAGAAACATTTTATTGCCCATGGTACATCATTCAGAGCTATTACTACCAAGATTTAATTTATGCCAAAACAAACCGACAAGAAGACAGCAATCAAGGCACTGCACGTACAGATTAAAATAAATACTTGGATTAGTGAAGATATAATACTGATTTTTGCACTTAAATAGCTGATTAGTTTGAAAAGAAAGAATTATATGTATCCAAAAAAATCTGTTCTATTTTGAGTTAATTACAGAGGAAACAACTGTGTAACTTACCAACAACTCAGGATCTACAGTATCATGATCATAGTGAAGAAGAACAGAAAAAAAGAGATTCAGGGCTGTAGTTTGGAAAGACAGGGCACATTCAGTACCAGCAGGATGCCACATTTGTTCCATTTCAGAGAAACAGTGCTAATTACCTATGAATAGCTACATCACAGATGAATTATTCTGGGATGCACGAGACAGAGTGGGAATGAACTAGTGCCCCGCTGGTAAGATTTTGATGAATAAATAGCACCTTTGATAGATGCTAAAAAATGCTGCTGTTTTAAATTTAACAACTGTCAGAACTTTGTCAGTGAGTTATTTACTGTATATTCATTCAGGTTCCCTTCTTGTGCTGACATTACATTTAATGTAAATGAACTGCCACGCAGAAACACTAGACGGTCTTTACAATACATTTAGTATAATCTTTTGCTTTGGAGGCTGGGACTGTCTTAATCTGAGGCATTGCATTGGTCCTGTTACTTTTTAAGATAGAACCACGGGAAATTCACAAAATGAGGCATAATGTACCTGTTTTATTGACCACCAGAATTAAGCCTGTAACAGAAGATTTCCCGGGCGTGTAAAATAAGCTTGTTTTGTAATGGAATGACAGTAAAAACATCTCAGATCCAGATGCCAAGTCCTGGCAACAGTTTCAGAAGTGTTTGATGAGTTTCTAAAAAAATGCTTCATCACATGTACCCTAAGGTCGGCTAATAAACTATGACTTTTTTAAATCACGATTCATCATTATTTCAAACTGCTTCTTATGATTTAACATTTCGCACCAAAAAGGTGGTCTCCTGCTCAATAAGTGTGAAGTTTCTGTTACAGTAATGCAAGTTTTACAGTATACAGCAAGAAAACATTTTAACAGACCGATGTTTGAAGTAAACTGTGGAGCACTGATTAAGTAAATACAACGTTAGACCCAACAGTCAGTGACATTTCAGAGCAATCCCGGACGCACAGCGATGTTGTGTTACTTTCTATTACACGCACAGCAACAAAAGGTAGGGATTATGCACCACACAGGTTACCCCGCGGTACGTACAGTCGTCTAGTTTAGACGCAGCCAATACAGCACTGCTAGCTTCAAAGTTTGTTTTGCCTCAACTTCAGCACGGTCCTCCGGGTTTCCGAGGTATATTTCTCTCGGAGACACAATGCGAAAACTCCATGCAACCCAGTCGCTTGACCCAAACAAGCCAGAGAGGAAGAGCGACTGTAAATATTAACGAGAAAACAGCGGGGGGGAAGCGATCGTGTTACTAAAAAATAAGCACACCTACCCTTTCTTTTCAGAATAAAGTCACGCCGTGTGGCTCTCAGGCGAGGGGGGGAAATCCGTGCGTGAGATCTCCGCTTGGCTGTGCTGTCAGGGCAAAGCCTAGAAGAAGAAAGTTGTCCGTATTGTCAGAGCAACACCATTGGAACGTGTCTGCTTAGGGGAACGGTTTTCCTCCTGTGAGCGCTACACTGACAGTACACGCAGCTCCCTGGCTTCCAGCGCATACAGATTCTGAGGAGCACACGGGGGCCTGCGGGGGAGTTCCTGACAGCCAAACTGGGGCGGGAATTTGTGGAGTGGCATCACATTTAACACATGACTTTAGCAACACCGATGCTGTACCGAAAATCTGGGTTATGTACGCGGTCCCAATAATTATTTACGACACCGCGGGCGCAGGAGATGCCGCTCAATGCATCAGTTGCATTTCATAAGAAGTTTCAACTCTCATTATATGCTCAAAGTAGTAACTAGGTATCTTTTCATTAGAAAAGTCTTGACGCAGTCCTTGGTGTGACATCTAGTTGAGATACAGTACGCAACATGTCTTGTTGTTATGGATTTAATAGAAAGTTACTCCAGAAATTAAAATGATCGCCTTTTGATGTACAGTAATTATTAGCAATTCGTCCACATTCTTCAGATCTGTCAACAAGAATTACTTACCATACTCCTATTAAGTGTTTAGACCGCTGCTATAAGGTTATTAGTCTGACGTTTAGGTCAAACTTTGTTAATGTCTTGCAGTTTAATTTCAAAAGAACAATTCATAATTTATAATCTATCTTTGTGTATACTTAACTCAAGACTTCATTAAGACGATGCGCAGACCGCATTGAATTGTAAAAAGTGACAATACATGAAGCACTTAGAGTAAATAGTGTAACACTTTGTTAGTGGTTACACCTTATCATCCTGGAAGCAGAAAATCCACGAATAAGTTTGTGTATTTAAAGGACACAAATGTATCTTTCAAAAATAAGAGAAAAAAAGGGGAAGTCATTTATTTCAAGAGTAACGTTTTCTGAATACGAGGCTTCTTTGTATTCAAACCTCCAATTTTGCTTTATATACTGTGAAACGTGAGGTTTTTATTTTCCATTGTACACTAACATCAATTTGCAGTAAATTACCACCTTTTAACCTCCGCATGGGCACCACGAGAAGCCCGTGTTTCAGTGCATCGTTTCTATGGAAACCAGGTACTGTTTGAGAAAAAATTAATGACTGGCAATTTTAGTTGCAAATGCAACAGTTTTAAACAAAGATCTGTAATATTCCCTTTGCACCACCAAATGTTCAAACATTACAATTCTAAAGCAATAACATTAAATAATAATAATAATAATAATAATAATAATAATAATAATAGAGTCAATATCACTTTGCACACCTTCAGATATTAGATTCTTTGTAAACAAATCAGTTGTAAGATTTAGTCAGAATGACAATGATCTCTGATTAATGATTAATAAATTGGCCTCATCACTCTGTTCTGCTTCCCACTGATAGCTAATGTGTGTTGAGCGTATTGGCGCACCTTGGCTGCCATCACATCATGATCATCATGATACTACACATCAGTGGCTGGGGAAGGGGAGTCCCCATTACCTGCATAGTGCCTTGAGAGGAGCGTCAAAAATGTGTGCTGTGACTCTGTGGCTGAGGATCTGCGCCTGCGGCTGGAAGGTTGCCGGTTCGTATCCCGTGGCTGGCAGAGGAATCCTAGTCTGTTGGGCTCCTGAGCAAGGCCTTTAACCCCAACTGCTCCAGGGGCACCATATAAATGGCTGACCCTGTGCTCTGACCCCAAACTTCTCTCCATGTCTGTGTCTCATGGAGAGCAAGCTGGGGTATGTGAAAAAATATGAATTCCTAATACAAGAAATTGTATATGGCCAATAAAGTGATCTTATTTTATATAAATGTAAGGATTATTAGTTTGATCTCTGGAATATTTTAATTCCTTCTCTTGCCAACAGGGGTCACTGTAATTATGTCAACTGTCCCTTCAAAGCCTTTTCATACATGTACAGTTACAAATTGGGGCACATTTCGAACACAAATGATAGATATTTACTGAATGCTCACATAGAAATGTTCTATCAAATTGTAATTATTATGCTTCTACATCACTGTGCAGAACTGTCCACAAGGCTGACCGAACTGCAACATTATCTTTCTCCTGTCATGTTTTTGAAGTTTCCTCAATAATGGCTACACTGACTCTCTCCAAGAGTTTAAAATATGATAAAAATGATCTAATGAAAACAATTGTTAAAAATGTAGATGCAGATCACTATTTCCACGATTGCTTACCAAATTACTAATATTAATAATTTACTTCTTGGCTTTACTTATAATTCACATTTTGGGGCTTCTATAAAGACCTTTGAGCTATTTCAGGCTTCCACTGAAACAGAAAAAGCTGTGGATTTAAAGGAGATGGAAATCCACTCATTTCCCTAACAAGCATGAAATTCACAGGAAGTGTTACAAATTGGTTGCAAGCCAGAGAAAGGAAAATCAGATTAAATCAATCAGCATTAACACAGAAATGTCACTGAGCTGTACAAAAACACAGAATCCGTCTGCTTAGAGATCTCTTTTTAGCTTGCTCTCACTGCCTTTCTCTTTTTTTGTTGTATCTCTGTCCTTCATGTCTTGGGTCTAAAGTGAATGCAATCTCAATAGCACTAAAAATGGTAACATATATGAATAAATGAGACCAAGTCTGTCCAAACAACTTCTATATCTCTGTCAGTACCTCGGTAGATGGTATTAGCTTCCAGAAAGGCTGGGGCTGAATGGCCTCCTCTCATTTGTATCCTTTCTTTTGTTTTTATCACCTCAGTTACTCTGGATGGGCACAGTTATGTATGAAAGCCCTCAGTAGTAACTGAGACAGGTTGATACCAATGGCTCTGGATGTGAAGTACTTCCCCTCTCTGTTCTGTGCAGCAGTGGTGGAGGTTGTAACCACATTAGCAATCACAAAGCAAGTCCAAGTGAAAACTTCAGCCACGAGCATTTCCCATTACTTTACTGTTGCATTTTGCCTAAATCTACGCATGGTAGGTCAAACAAACTGAAACACATTAACTGCATTCCTGTCCATTCACAGACAGAGGTACCAGCGTAGCTTTAGGGTGACTGTCATTCTCTTTCTGTGGATCACTGTATCACAAAGTGGCACTGTTGCTTTTAAGGGCCAAACATCCCTCTATTTTGTTAATCCCCAGCTAAAGAAAATCTGTGAATGAACAGCGACATTTTTGTGACATGGATTGAAGTCTGATTTACCACACAGTTGCAGCTGATCTTACAATGTATCTGTACATTTCTATTGCTTTCACAGCCGACATCAGTGTAAAGCCTGCCCCTTGGGGACTATAGCATTTCAGCTCTATGGCATAACTTCTTTTGTGGCTATAAAGATTGCTTGGCTGGGTACTAATGCACTAGCAAAATATCATTATCTTCTGGTTTGTGGCTGAACTGTCAAGCTGATGACTAATCAGTCATTCAGCACAGACAGAAATAGAATATTCTTTGTAGTCAGCTGTCCATCAGCAAAATGAACGTGGCAGCCTTTCTAAGTAAGCCACAGTTTACCACTGACATCATTTTCTTAAGGCTCCCTACTCCAGAGAACTTTGTACAGAAACATCCTAACAGCACAGATGAGAACAGAATGCGTGATGGATTATGTTCACATTGGTAGTCAATATGCTAAATAAACCAAATAGATTTTATGTACTTCATATACCATTTGTCGCTTTTTGACATTAGTATAAGGTATTTGAAGATTTCCCCCAAAGGAAAGGTTTTTGTTTTGTTCTTGAAAAATATGAATATGTGACTTTTTAGTGAAGAGCTGTTTTCTGAATTGTTGCTTTTAACTTCCAAGGGACCATTTACTCCGTTCTTGCAAACTGCCTGTAAGTTCTAGACTCTTTTTGTACTTGTATTTTATTTGTTTTCTTCTTTTTGGCATACAAGAATTACCAGAAACAAGGTTGCTATTCTGCACAAATCTAAATCCGAATAAGTATAAAGTCATTAATTTCCAGTTTGACAGAAGGAAGTTCTAGACTCTTAAAAGAGAAATACTCTTCGAATTTGTTGGGATGTTGGAGTATTTGTAGGTCACACAAGAAGAGACCTTGAGTATTCATTTCCATGGGTGTCCATTTGTATGTGTCAAATTAACTTCACTAACATTTGTTTTAGATTAGCTGACTTTTTTTTTTACAGAACATGAATGCTGTTTAATCAAACTGGTAAAAAATGGCCTCTTGGCTAAATAGTCACCTGCAGGCGATCATGTTTGGTAGCTATTTTAAGCCTGACTGCCTCTACATGTGGTTCAGGTCATTGTTTCCCCAGACTTCAACAGCAGGACCTTCTTCTCCCCGTGAACTGTCACAGCAGGGTCACGGGGGATCAGATCCCAGCTGTGGCTGACACTTAACTCACCACGTGGATGGAGTTTCTGAGCTTCTGTCCCTCAACACCTCTGCGGTGGAATTCCCGGAAAAGGTTTTGATGTGATCTTTTCAGACAGATCAGGCATATCCAAGCACTGGAAGGTTTTAGCATGAGCAGCCAGCGTGCATATCTCTAGCATTAGCATCTGAGGCCCAAACAGGAGGAATAACATCTAAAAATAATACAAGAATAACATTAGGGGAAATTGTAAGGTCATCGCCACCATTAATACTAAGAGTCAAGTATATGTAAGTATTTTTAAGCCACGGCAGTGGTACACACCATTTGCAGAGTCTCACAACAGCAACATGAGGTAAATATCTTGCAAAACAGAGGAATAAATGTCTCAAGAATCACTAAGTCAGTTTTTCAAATAACAGTAATACAACCATAGTTATTCATGTTCTTGTTATTATACCGATACCAAAAGTAAACAGTCTGAAGCAAACTAAATGGTTATTGCAGTATAATGTGAGATTAATGATTCAGAATTCAATAATTGGGACAAACAGTTACATTTGATCTCAATCATTTTAATAGTTTTTACTGTTTTTTTCATACAGCTATCATGCAGTAATGAGAAGCAATTAAAAATATTTTTGAAAAACTTTATATTTGAAAATACTTGACTTTTGTTATTTAAAAATATTTAGATATGAGCAAAACTATTAAAAATAACATTGTCTGTTAACAGCAGTGATTGGGACTGGTTATTGTTAAAAAACCAAGAGCCATGCTTTGAATTGCTCTGAATTCAGGATAATAATTGTTCTATTTGTCAGCAGAATAGCTTTTGGGAAAATTTTGTAAAAGACAAGGTCATATACCTTATTATTGAAATCTAAAGAAATGGGCGTTGGGGGAACTCAAAAGAATATAACAGAACGTGTATCTGAAAAGTCATTTTAATTTTTTTATAATACTATATTAGACAAAGGGTATCTTGCTTTTCAATAGCACAACCATATATTTTTGAATATACTGTACATTTTTATCAACAGAGGAGACACAAGCACTAAATCTGCTCTTGACATAAATCTATTCTTTATTACAAAAGCAACTAAGACAAAATTTGAAACTCACTGCAGTTCTAAAAAAGAATTCTACCTGTTTTGAGCTTCATTATTCTCAAAGGGCTTGATGCTGGGGTCAGGAACAAGACACGAAAGCACAGAGACGGTCACCTGGTTGAGTCCCGAGGAGAAATAGTAGAAGCCATTTTACAGTGCTGGCATATCTTTAGGGGCTGCTGTAATAATAACCTAAGAGATATGTGTGAGTGCAGCAGATGAACACAGTGAAACCTTAACAATCTGTCCTTTTGGGTACTCTGTTTGAACCTTGCCTCTCTACATTCGTTGACAGAGCCTGGGGATGTAAACACCCTAGTGGGTCACACTAAGGCCGATTTCATTTCCTTACCCTAATTTCCTCCGAACGGCCCAAAGTGAACTCTGATTTCTATGTCTGGGGAGATGGGATTTAATCAACAAAGAGACAGGGAATGGCGGTGTACATTTTGCGGGGGTTAATGATAGATAATTACAGCAACATGTCAGGAGTTCCTCAGGCTCCCTAGGCAAACAGTTCTATTTCTCAGACGTATTCTCTCCCGAACTCTGTTTTTGTCTATAGATAATTAGATTTCGTCTTGGAACTGTTTTCCTCGCATGTAGTGGAAGAGATTATATAATGTTGCTTCAACATCCATTTATGTGATGTGGATTTTAAATTGGGCCCAGTTTAAAATAAAGTGTCCCAACATGTGCTTTGCACACACAGTCCTGACCCAATGTCCCACCTCAGTCCTTATTCCCCTTTGAAAAATGTAGTGATTTCTGTGAGAAAAAGAAAAAAAAAACTTTAGTTTTAGGAGGCAGGTTTCTAATTAATTCACATTAATTACATTACTTTACTTACACATAAAGTACTACCTTTGAGTGTTTTACTGTATGTGCTAGAAATTATCTCAAATCCAAAAGAAAGTACATTAGTTCACTTCATTTACTTGTATTTTCTTCCCTACAGATTAGACAATTTCTTTAAATTATCCTAAGGTGAATAGATATGAAGTACTGTCAAATGGAGGAGAGTATATTCACAGATGGAAGGGTATAAAAACTTGCTTTTTTTCCCATGATTTTTTTATTCTGCTACAATAACATGCAATCAGACCTCATCACTATCTTTATCACCATTTCCCCCTCCATCTGAGAAATTTGGTTTGAATTAGCTCACTGTCAAAGCTGGAAAGCACAAAATAACTAGCCAGTGTGATGGTTTTTTGGCTTTTTAATGTCTGGAATATAGAAAATATACATATATGAAAATCTTACTGTACAGTTTATTCACAAAAGCATAAAGGTATTTTGAGACTAATTCAGACCTAGGTTTTGTTTCAATAACCCAAAGTGGGTTGAACAGATTCCAGACACTTACATTATGTCCAGGTCGTTGAGGGTCTCCTTGGGGAATATGTGATTCATCTCAATTTAGCTTGGGTTTCGCTTGTAGCCGTTTACACTTTGTGAGTGTACGTATGAAATAAGATATGCAATGCATAAAACTGAGAACAGGAAACACTTTGCCTGTTTTTAATCATGTATCAGTGATACAAGACAGCGTGTGGAGCGCACTTCATTCTCAGGATGTATGTCTTCGATGTTAGCCTCCAGCTATTTGTCTCTTTGGGAGATTCTTTCCCAAAAGCCAATACAATTTTAAAAATGATTTCCAGCAGATCCATTGCTCCATGGTCAAAGAATTTCAGATAGGCAACAGAATGAACAGTATTGAAGTATACTGTATATTGAAAATCCAGAGTATCGAGACTTAACAAGAATTCCAAAACCCTTAGAAAACTATGGTTTCCATTATCTAGGCCATTCTCTTGTCTCTTCATAAATGGCACCAATGTACCTGCATAGGTTTTACGTAATCTCACCACCATTCCCTCCATCCACACACAGCTGCTTCTTCAATAAGGACTCCTGTGTTGCTCTTAGGTCTGCTTGATCTTCCAGGCAATCGGATCCAGGATGTAGGACCCAAGCCAAATCAGCTTAGCAGGTTTTCACATGCACATTTGTACTCACTGTTCAAAATATCAGAAACTCCCAGTTGCACAAACTATTTAGAACAATTTCCAGATCTCAGTCTTATTGCAAACCTGTGAAACTGAACGTGTAAGTAGTTCAACCCCACACCCTATTATCCTCAACTGAAAGTAATCCTGCTGGAAGAGGGGTTTGGATTGGACTGCAAACATTTTAAAACCTTGTGTACACGCCATGTTATAATCAAGCTGTTCTTGCTGCTCAAATAAACCCGACTTCTAATTCCGTGAGATCTCCTAATATTATGATCAGCAAGTGTATGTTTTATTGGATAGACTTACAATTAAACCAAAACAATATCCAATTCATTTCACCCCTGAACACCTTTTGATGATCTGTATCCATTTCTTTTTTAATTCAATTATAAGTGAGATAACTGAGTCCTCAAGTTCAAGTAAAGTATAATAAAATACTGACAGTTTTAGCTTGAGGTATTTTAATTCAGAAAAAAAACATTCATTCCTTTTACATGACCAGGCAAGTGTTCAAAATGTTTGACATTCACCTGTAGATTGATAATGAATTGCAGAGTTTACAAATTGCATACTCAAATAACGTAATACATTCAATATGGTGCATTTGAGATTGTTTAATCTGCATTCCATGTGAAATAATATGATTCCAGTTAGCCAGCACATTAACAGCCCCAGGAAGTGTAGCTGTGGATATGAAACCTTTCATTGGTAAGGGTGTCATTATTACACTGTTTCAAAAAAGAGGTGACAGTCTTAATTTCCTCAGGGAAGAACAGATTAAGATGAATTTGTACCCTTTTGAAGATGAACTCAGATCTTGTCTGATTACATTAAATATTATGTTTTAATTAAAACAACATGGTTTAGTTTTTAGGCTTAGAGAAAGCATGTTTGTCCAAACAGATTATGTCAAATGTCTCTAGAAAAATAGATCCTGTCTTTTCATTAGAAACGTTTTAATATTGTTTTGATTGCAATGAAAGCATAACAGCAAACAGACTCTTTTTTTTTGGTTTCTTTAAATGCTTTGTATGTAGTGGCATTTTCATTTTATAATCCTTTACTAGCACTCGAAGCAAATTGGTAAACACTTATCTGTTCTGTACTATCAGCTGCAACCTCCTTCAGACTGTAGTCAGATGTTTAGAGTCCATCAGCATAAAAGAATCATGAGACAGGTGTTCATAAAATTTTGGCATTCATTTTCTACATAGAACACATGGCACCTCAATATTGCTAATATTTTCTTGCTGACAGTTTAGATGGCAAAACATTTTATTTGTGAATGTTAATTCCAATATAATCTTCTAACCGCACACAGAAAATATGATTGCAATTTACTATATATAGTAACTTACCTTCTACACAGACCTGATTTGACAAGGATTACTCAGGATTAGTTAGAAAAACACCTTGGTAACAGTACACTGTTGTGAAACCCTAAGATCTGAAAAGCCTTTCTGTTGAGTAAGTTCTGTTCCTTGATCCTTGTTGGTCTTTTTTAAAAGAGTTGCATTTTTACTGTCTGATTACGCACAATAGTAGTTTAACACGTATTCAAAACATTTTTCCATCAAAAGAGAATGATAATTGTCCTTTTAAATCAAATCAGTTAAAACAAAAGTATTCTGAGACAAGCTTATTGAAGTTATTTTGTTACCAGCACCACCACCAACAGCAGCCAGCAACAGCAACAGCAACAGCATTTTTGCATTGTTTCAACAGAAAAACCAGAAAGGAGCTGATCTAGTCCCTGAGAGATGAGGCTCATCTTACGTGTATGAGACAGGCTCCCTAGTGGACAGAGAGGAAGTGTGGGGCCAGTCTGGGAAGAGGGAAGGGGGCACAGGCCAGAGGTTGTGAGAGCCCACCCTCAATCAGCTTAAATCATGACATTTAGAAGATGGGGCACAAGTCAAGCAGGTCAGCAGCAGCTCTGGCACTTACTCACAGCTGTCTTTGTGAGAGGGGGTCAAAGTTCAGCACCAAGGAATGAAAAGAGAGCTGAAGCCAGCCTCTGTCCAGATCT